AATCACCAGCTTCACAATGGTCCCCACTTTGAAGAGAGGCAATGGGAATGTGGAAGCTTGAGTAGAGCCGCATGCCACCAAAAAATCAGCCTTTTCACCGTGTAATTCAAAACGTGTAGAGCACGCAGGGCCACAAACAGAGAATCTGCGGTTTGGCAGGTGGCCTTCGTGGCCAAGCCTGGCTGGAATTCTTGGAGTTGGCTTTCGGGAAGAAATTCCCGTCGTCAAGGGGTTAATGAGGTTTGACTGTATCACATAATATTGTGTACTTGCACACAAGGCAGAGACCGGTCGGCCAGTACATCATTTTCCATGAATGACTTCCCACACAAGCAATGGCACCCAACATAACGAATTGAAGGCACGATGAGGGTGGCATTATCAATCATCCTAGCCTGTCTTTGCTATCATAACTAACAAACTCCTGTCGACTGGCCCGAATGCGGGCTCAGCGTGATACCTCTGAGAAGTCGCTCAGGTTTCTCAACATAGCGATTTATCACCCTGCCGCTCTCACTGTCAACAGCCCCTTTGTGCATCTATTATTCTTATCACTGCATGCATGGACGTCCTTTACTTCGTGACTGTGTAACAGCTACAGGCCTTAACAAGTGCATGATTACAACTACTAGCACAGGAAGAAGTGTTTTCAGTGAAGGAGGGGGCCGCAGAGCACTAACGCATGACGTCATTTGAACTGGGAAGTGTAAAGCAAATGAATAGATTATGTGTATATGTTGGTCCATGCGCTGGCTTTCGTGGTAATGCATTTTACATATATAATTGTGTGCGGGACGTATTTACTTTGGTACTCTTTAGGAGGGTCAGGGTAGCTCAGGTGCACTTTTCTGTTTTTACTGCTCAAACTACTGTGCACGCGATGCCAACATTACAGTGCGGGATTACGTTCACATGCCATGTACTCCCCACACATGTACATTTGAACATCAAAGACCTTGACTTTACCTTCACCACTTGCCTCCAGGGCTCCCGGTACCGGGTACTTTGGGTTTGTATGCATGGCCGGGGTGACTGAAATCGGACAAAGGAGCTGGGCCTTGTAACAAAAGGCCGTACTCTGAACAAAAGACCGAGCTGCTGGGAATTTACATCATTTTTCAGTTGGCATTAGCGGAGGGAATCTGTCATTGTTTTGTAACAGTGTACCACTGTTTGCAGCATTCAGTGCCCATGGATTATCAGCGGAGACAAAAGTGCTCCCGCACTCCAGTGATGAGCGATACGATACCGCTGCACACTAACCTGGTCGCATTTGTAAAGATACCACTGCTATTCAGCAATGCACTGGGCCAATAATGGGAACAAAGGAAATTACGCAACACCTCACAGTTCTTTGGGTGGGAGGCCTGGCCGCAATATCCAGGCATTAATGGAGGTTTCTTGTCAAATTAGAGTAGCCACCAGACAGTCATTCGTGTGGGTGTAAACATCCAGTAAATGAACTTAAGAATTTTTGAAGAATTTTGAAATCAGAAAATCTTGAAAATTGCCCGGGAATTCGTCCTACATATGCAAATTCCACCCGGCGGGCAGAGGTTAATGTATGGGGGGTGGCATATGTGCCCAGTCAAGTGTTCTGGTTAGTAGCTGAGCACTTTGGGTGATATTACTAACCACTCTGATGCCAGCAGAGGTGGTCATTTTCTTGGGTAGTTTGAAGACTGGCGCTTCCTGTTTCTCCACGCTCACGGTGTGGCTTGCTATCACATGATCCGCCGGCATATCCGAGTATATCTGTTTAGATAATAGGGGGATTACAATGCAAAGTGAACTCCAACGGTAATTATTATTTTCTGCACGCACTTGGTGGTTACATCAAACTTTCAAGACGTAAATAATTAACGCATAATTTAAGGTGTAAATCTGTGACTTTTTAGATGCTTGTCTCGGGGATGCATCGCTTGTTTTTTTATTTCAGAGATGTTTTACACCGTTCCGGGGATTCAATTTTCCAGATAGCTCTTTTTTCATGGAGGCACATGTACTGGTATTTCATAATAGGTTCCAGAATGCTTGTGACCATAGCTACATCTGAAAAAATCCCAATCTTAATTTTTTATCGGGACCACCGAAGTATGCATTTTGAACAACAAATCTATCAGAGAAGATCAGACGCAAAATCAGTTGCAATGATTAACGCTAAAGAACACTTAACAACATCAAATCCCATGCCATCTATAACGCCTTCATCTGAATTAATCTTTTAAGACCGCAGCCCAACTACAAGGTGGTTATCAAAACTTCTTTGAACAAAACAAGTTCCACTCCAATATGCCGCCTTGTTACTAGAATTCCTAAATTCTGCTCACAAACATTCCTGCCGATTTGCCGTTTGAAACTGAAATGCCAAGTGTTATTCTGGTGATTCTATCTTCATAACAAATCATTCAAAACTCCTCTATGCGAAGTTAATCCCACTAAGGCAAAAAAAAGTCTCGGGTTTCTGGTCAGGGGCTAGTTCTAAAAGTGATGGGGCAACACAGTTTTTTTCTTTTTTTTGCCTAAACTTTTTTCTTCTAGGGATGGTGTACATGTATAGCATGTGCACACACGTACATATCACCACTACCAACGCTGAAATAGACTGGCCCCTAACTATTTGCTGTTTAAAAGCATTCTCAGCTTGTAGATGTACAAAGGAAATAAAACCACCTCGTTTATCTGGTTCCCAGATGTAAATGTACAATGCAGAAATGACATCATCTGAAAAAGAGTGCCCGACTAAAATGTATGAGGGCATAGATGGACTCCTTTACTCTACGTATTACCCAACTGTATCCCATCTGAAACATGACAAAATTACAAGGTATCAGGATTCCAGTCGATCAAGCAAGTTTGGCAGCCTTTGGACATCTTATTATACCAAATAAAAACTTTACTTTGCTGACGCGCAGGCCTACGGTGACACTCACGATGACAAGAAACCAGAGACCTTCCTTTGGGCCTAACCTCCCCCCCCCACTGACCAGTTCATCAATGAGAGCTTCCTTATCACGCTTCTTCTGGTTCTTTGTCTGGCGTTCCAGGAACTGCAGCTGTTGTCTCTTCTCTTCCTGCTCTTCTCTCTCCTCCTGGATAAGCGCCTCAAGGTACACCTGATCACTGCTCTATTGATTTCAAAGAAAACAAAACACCAGCCAAATTTGATTTCTCCATTTCATACACTGTTATTTTTATCCCTGACTGTCCTAAATTGGCTTAAATCAAATACTTCATTTTGCTGTGTCTTGATGTACTCAGCCTGTCATTTCCACTTCAAAATGGAGCTTAATATCTAGATATTTTACATTAAGCACAAACTTGTGTTACAGGTTTTCCTGCACACTGTGTGGTATTGGAGGATTTAGTACGCTCCATATGGGCAAAATTCCAGGTAGTTAAAGACTGAGTACCAGGGGAGGGGGGTACTAACAATATGGCTTCAAATCGAAATGGGTCGCTGAGTACCAGCCATCTACATGTACATCATGACTGAGGTGTTCATCTGGCAAAAAGGATCTTGAGGTGTAACATGTACCTTCTGGCATATGCTATGAGTAAAAGAGTTGATGATGAGGGGTCTGGTTGGATCAGAATGCATGAGAAAGTATTAATCGGTGTAATAGGCATGCAAGTGATTTTGTAATGTTTGGAACCCCATGCTAGTTACAGAGAGGGCCTTCTCGATAAAACACTTTTCGAAGAGGCACCACAACTTTCAAAATAATTTTCACCTTAATTGAATAACTTTAACCACCAACATGTAATCCCTTTTGGCTAAGATACACTCTCAGTCCATCAAAGTCCTCCAACAGCCCCGTGGGAAGACTTGGATACAGCCTCAATCCTCCACAATCCTGAGAAGATTTCTGGAATATGTTCCGTGGAGGGGAGACCAATGCCTCAATCCTTTAAAATCCTCTGGTAATTCCTCTCACTATGGTGAGCCAGTGTAAATGGTATCCTGGAGCAGTATGGATGATTTCATGTATAATCTACACATGAATTTAGGCACGGTCTTACCCAAGGCCTTGAGATAATTTGTCCTTCGCAATCGGCAACAGAATTTCCCCATACGGCCTAAATTCTTCAAAATCCTCCAAAAGCTGCACGGAGGATTTTGGAGATTGAGGATGGCTAGAGTTAAGATGGGATGTCCACACTGTACATAAGAACCCTGTGACAGAGAGGCCAAGGTGGCAATCAAGGGCTGAAGGAGCTGTGCGCCAGCTACGTGTCTGCAAATACAGTTGGCCAAGTTGTTTACGTATACTCCGAGACAGGCGCTGCTCCAACAAGAAAGTTGCATCATTTAAAGAAAGATCATCGTCTGGTTAAACAAGTTCCATGTTCATGCACACAGCCCATGCAGGGATTTCTGATTTTCCCGGCATTCACGTTGCCAGCACCTTACCTGCTTGGATCTGTTCCTGGTGATTCTGTCTCTGTTCTGCTTTCGGTACAGCTCAACCTTTTTCTTGGTTGCTTCAACATCGATTCCATTCGTGAGATTGAATACTGAAAAAACAAAGACGCGGATGAAAAATCGAATCAGTTTACTGATTACTGAACGTGGCTAGGCATTATGGGTAATTGGCATATGATGTGTACTATGTCCATATGCCTCAATGACATTAAAAAGTGGTAAGAAGCAATGCCTTCAATTATCTCCTAATCATTCCTAAATTGAAAGAGATGAAATTTTGAATGTATGAAATTTAAATGAACTTTAAAGTTAACTTACTCTGAGACACACACAATTTGTTTCAACAAAATTTGTAATTTTTTTCATCCTTTTCAAGAAACCCAGTGAATTGCAGAATTCAAGAAAGGCTTGCAAACTGAGAAGAACACGCTAACCCTCAAGAAGGGTTTTCAAATGAAATCATCAAGAATGTGTGAACTCCAATGTCCAAACACAAAATTCAGTGTTGAGAAATCATATAGTTTTCTACATCATCTCTGAAACGTGAGGCTCTGATTTGAAACTATGCTACAATAGTCCACCCAGAAATCCTGGCATCAATTCAAAACATCGACTTACTGATAGTTTCCACTTCCTCGAGGTAGTCATTGTATTCCCGTAAGGTTGGGAAGTCATCCTCCTGCTGATTAAAACTGAACAAGACACGCATGGAGAGACAAAAGCATTACAAAAGACAGGGCACCTGAAGCTGCAGTTTTCAACCAGTGTTAAGATTCACTTAGAACAAGAGCTGACACATTTCAGTTGAAAGTCACAGGTACTCGAGGGCAAACTGGTAACAGCAGGTTTTGTCCTTTTCCGTGTGTTACTCAAATCACAGAATTAAACGCAAAGTGGAAGAATCCTCTTTATGTTCTGTTGAACACTGTAGCGGATTGACTCAATTCTCCGGGTACAACCAGATCCAACAAAATGAATCTTTAGGCCACTGTTCAGCCATTTAGTTTTAGTTTGGACTAGTTTGGACTAGAGGGAGCCAGCTGAGCTCTTTTTTTTTGTATCACTAACTTTTGCATCATATGAAAAGATGTACGTTCAGCCTTTTGCAAGTTAAATTTGAACAAAATCTGGTACACTGACTTCTTTAAATTCATGTGAACATAAAAATTTGAATTCCCCATACTAAAAACCCTTTTGCTACACCTCATGATTTGGGGCAAGCTTCTGCATAGCTACATGTATATAAGAGACACCTAGCAACAATACACTGTTCACAATGGACAAGAAGGGCACAAAGGGCCCAGTCCATTCCAGAGATGGTGGTCGCTATGCAAAAGCTCCCCCCCCCAACTCACAAGGTATAGCAACAGTGTCTTTAGTCTGGGGAATTCAAATTGTTATGTTTATGTGCAATTAGATAACTCAGTGTACCAGACTTTATTCAAATAATTTAACCTGCATAAGGCTTACAGTTAAAGGTCCCAACTGATTTACATTGTGAAAGATTTGTTTCAAGGTCTTTGGCCCAAAAAAAGGCTCCGGCCATTTGTGACCCATATGGTAAGGTTGGGCCACATATTCTCCCTATGATAAATAGATCATGTTGACTGTTCATGCCTGTACAGAGCTACTTTTAGAACTGCACTATGGCCGTGTGCGATATGGGCTTCCAGAGCTATGGCCACGTCTATTGTCAGTGTGTTGCCATATCTTTCCAATGGAACGAAGACTTAGAGCTACACGTAGCTCTAGACAACAGATGCAGATGCAGCACTAGTTTCCTTCATTCATCGTTATCCTTCATTCCCTCTCTCCCCACCCATCAACAAACCAACTTACTACGTAGGCCTCCAGTCCAATCCAGTCAGGAGATTTTTCCTCGTGGAATTCAGAGCACAGGCTCTTTATGCAGATTTTTAAGCATTTCTCCATCCCTGACCCAATTCACGAACACAGTCAGTGGGTTTAGCTTTCGAGTATCTCATTATTTTCCCAATTGGATCATTAACCGCGACAGGCCACAGCACCTATGTACATGTACATGGGTGCTGGACTTGATCTTTAAGAATTTAACCAAGAATATTTACATGTACAATACATGTATGTACGACTCACTCCTTCAGTATTCGCTTGCGTATATCAACCTCCTTCTCCACATAGGCATCTTCAAACTCTTGCACTCGGAACTGGTTCTTGCGAAGCGGTGTGTTGCAGGACGGACATGCCCCTGACCCCCTCACAAATAAGATCTCAACACAGTTCTCACATCTGGTAGGGAGACCAGGGAAATGGGGAAACGAAGTTGCCTCACAGAAAAAGAAACAGTACTTAGTCTGAGAAGAGCAGGCCTAGAGCAGGCCAATTTTCCAGAGCTGCTTAAAGCACAAAATTTGTTTAAGTTCCAAAAAAAACTTTGCTTCAAAAATCAGGTTACCAGCTGCCAAAACTCCACATGACGTATTGGTTTTGGAATGGTAGCTGTCTTTTGGTTTGAGCTGGTATAAACGTTTGTTTTTGAAGCAAGGTTTTTTCACGCTTAAACAAATTTTGTGCTTTAAGCAGCTCTGTGAAAGTGGCCCTGTAGGTCATTACTGCTCAACTGACCTCTAACACAAGGTTTACCCATTCTTACATCAAGGAGTGAAAAAAGGTGGAATGTATCATGTGCATGCTTACAAGAGGACTAGCTGAATCAGTTACAGGGAAAGTAAAACTGGAAATTTACAAATGCTGACTGGTAGGATTTCAGAAACTTTCAGGGCACTGCCTACATGTACCTTCATACATGTACAAGAACTAGTGCAAGGCCTCCACTCTAGCCAACATGCAGTATATAGTAAAGCCATCTAAGATTCACACGGACTACTCTCACAATAGTTGGTCAACTATGCTGGCAATTTGATGCTTTCATCTCGGTATCATACATGTAAATCTGTGTCTTTTGGACAATTCAAAAAGGTAACAAGGTAAAAGAAATCAAAGAATTTCCAATAAGGCATTCGCATATTTGGTAAAACTCAACTGAGGCTACCATAAATCCCCATTCACTGGGACTGTAATCAAGTAATCACAATAACTAGTCCATCGAATATTGAACTTCATGTCACAAGCTATTGCAATGAACAGTAGTCATGTGTGAACAGATATGATTTGACTGATGCAAGCCACATGAGTAACTAATGGCAAATCAGGACACAGAGTGTGTGGGTGAGGTGTCATCTACAAAACAAAAATTTTCCCAGGCTAAATTGCAATTGATATCAGCAGGAATCTCCAGACACTTACAATGTATGGCCACAGACATTGACTAGCAGCTTGAGAGCGGGATTCCTGAATTTGGTTGATTTGCAGCGTGGACAAGCTTGTTCATCCATCAAGTCCATAGCTGGCTCTGAAATTGCGCAGCTATCCAAGGTTCCTACCAGGGCCTATAGGTGGTAACATAGAGCAGATAGTAACAAAAATGGGGCAGTGGGGTTGGCTTCATCTCAAAATACAGCCACTAACAAGTCTTAAGTTACAGTAACTCTACTAAGTGGAGAATTAGTATTCCTCTTTTTTAAATTTTGGGCGGGATCGGTCATACTAACGCTCCACAGCATTACATACATGTATACAATCGAAAATCTGTGGAAAGAGCTTAAAAGGCTCGAGTTGCAGCAAGAAGACCTTCCAACCTCATGGACTTGGAGACCTTCGCAAAAGAGGAGTGGGCAAAAAATTCCTATTGAGGTCTGCAGGAAGTTGATCAGCAACTATCAGAACCGTTTGGAGGCTGTTATTGCAAACAAAGGCTATGCCACTGGTTATTAGTCATGGGGTATATGGCATGCATAAAAACCAAAAATGTTGATTATGTAACCTTTAGGTCGACAACAAAGAAGCCGACATTGCTCCATTGCTTTGTATTCTACCATAAATAAAATGGAATAAAACCAAAGTGTTCTCAGTCCTCCATTTCATACCCTAAATTAATAAAATATCGATTTCCACATAGGGTATGAAACATTTTGGGCTTAACTGTATTTCTGATAACAGAAATCACATACAATGTTTGAAAAATTCCATGACTTTTCCAGGCCTGGAAAATGAAAACAAATTTCCATGGTTATTTGATGACTTTTCCAGGCCGCGGGAACCCTGCACATACTAGAGTTAAGTGACAATGATTCTCAAAAATTCCGCAGGTTCAACAAAAATACCTTTTTCACCACCCACTGGCTTTCTTAAATGCCGAAGGCAAACTTTTGGGGTACCTTCAGTGGTATTCCGACTTCACAATGTGTCAAAATCTGACCGTTTTTTCTTGACACAGGCTCGACACTTAAACTTTTGACACCTGCTCCATTCAAATACATGGGTCGAGATGTTGCTACCGCAATGTAACTTTTCAGGGGGTGATTTTGTTTTGTGGGAATAAAAATGTAATTGGTTAACCCACAAAAATTGAAAAGAAATTGAAAGATAAGGGACCAGAGAATAATTTCATTTTGTTTCAGAAATCTCAGGGATGTTGGTATGCATGTTATTGGACCCCCAACAATGCTGGTTTTCAATGGGGATTGAATTAGTGGACTGTACCCTTGGGAGTGCTACCAACGACTGTTTCCTGGTCAGTACATCTTGTGCCCTGATTACACATGGGCCACTCCTGCGATTTCGTTAGAGGACCACGTTCCTCCATAGAGTTATTGCGGCAGCAAAATCTAGGCACATGTATTTGAATGGGAGGAGGTGACTAAAAGTTTAAGTGTCATGTGTGCGTCAAGCAAAATCGGTCGGATTTTGACAGATTTTGAAGTTGGAAATATCACAAAAGCCCCAAAAGTATTCCTTTGGCATTTAAGAAAGCCAGTAGGTGGTGAAAAAGGTATTTTTGGTGACTCTTTGGAATTTTTGAGAACCGTTGTCACTTTACTATATGTACATGTAATGTCGTGGAGCGTTAGTACACCTTTGACCGATCCCGTATGAAATTCGAAAAAGAGGAATACTAACACTCCACTTAGTAAAGCTAACGGATGCCAGTAACTATTCCTACAGAGACTAAATGTAAATATCATGTCCACAAAAGTTCAATAAACCTTTTCGACGTTTGCAATGCATTATGGGTGTGGATCATGACAAACAAGCAATGCATTTTATGCACAACCCTATGGGGGAAGAATTTTCTATTAAATATTTTTTATGTATCTGCTCATCAACTCACAGATGCATGCGTATTATCAGATTATACAAGAAACATTTTCAAATACGTTTTCAAACATTTGTAAGAACAAATCACCCTTAATTGCCTTTTTTTAAGGGCACCAGTCACTCTAGCTCTATACTAGGCTGAAAATGAACGTGACTGGTCAAAGCAAGATGAATGTGCTGCAAGTCGTAATTTTGATTGGACAATACTAGAACATTAATATTCATGAATTGGCATTGAGTGTAGTGCCTACATATACATGTAAGCATACATGTACATGTACAACAGTACATGAACTTGTACACCGGTACAACTACAAGTCAGTACAACCATGGAGGTGTGTTTTATTCCTCCATGGCACAACAACCAGCATAACCAGGCAACTACTCCATGTAGTCCTGCCCAAATTTGTATTGTAATGTATGTCAACTTACAAAATTCCAGTGACACACAAGTTATGCAACAGGACGAAATGCGACAGGATCAGGAAACTGAGGACAGCCACTTTACAGAGTATATCATGTGCAAATTCGTTTCAAACTTTCAAGTCCACATGACATGCCTTTGATATTGAAATTTTTCATGGACTATTATTCTAAAGAGCGCCCTCAATTGACAACTTTGAGAACATGTTTACCAGCCGTGCGAAGTACATGTACATATGTACATGTACAATCGTCGCGTCGCTCATACAACTTTAATCGCGTGGACTTCTTTTCTTCGGGCATCGGCTCACAAAAAATGCAATTTCTTCCAAATTCACTCACCTATTTCAGCCAAATTTGTATCGAATCTAGCTTGGCCGAAGTCTTATATGTAGTGACTAGTATGCTTGGCCAGTGGTCACCTAGTGGTCAGTCGTGGTCATTTTCTTCAAAATTACAAAAAAAAAATGCTTCTTCGACAACCTCGGCCCAATTATTGTCAAGCTTGATCCGTCAGTGGCATTTGGACCAAACTTCATAAACGTTGTTCAAAGAATTTGGCCAGTGCACTGGCCAAATTCTGTGAACCACTGCAGTGGTCACTTAGTGGTCACCTAGTGATCACTAGTGGTCATTTTCTTCGAAATGAAAAATTCCTCCTTCTACAATCTTGATCCAATTATTGTCAAACTTGATGAATGATATCTGGACCTTCAGTATGTTCATAGAATTTGGCAGGGCTCACTTGGTGATCAGCAGTGGTCATTTCCTTCGAAATAACAAATTGATTCCCCCCCTACAGCTTTTGTCAAACCACTGTCAAAATTGATCATTTACAGCTTTGGAACAAGCCTCAGATTGGATGTTCACAGAATTTGGCCAAGGCTGGTCACAAAAAAAATGAGCATTATTGCAAGGATCGGATATATATCGATATCTTGTACTTTCCTTTGCCATCTTCAGCCACATCTGGGCATAATCTTCCTCAACACGATTCCTGACCTAAGGTGACAAGCGTACAGGGTCAAGCCTGAGGATCACCTCGCTAGTGCTCACTAGTGGCCATTTTCGATAAAAATACAAAATTACTTTTCTCACCCCAATCAATGATGACTCAATCAATCTCAAAAAGGCGGTTACGTCAAGTTGCAGGAAACACCATGTGGGTGATTAACAGAATTTGGCCGATGGTCACCTAATGGTCAGTGGAGATCATTTTTTTTTTCAAAACCTTCCATTGGTTGTCCAAATGTAAAACTTAATCGTTTTCATAAATTCATCTCTGCAGCAAGCGTTATGTACGGTTCACACAGAATTCGGCCAGTGGTCACATGGTTGTCCGTTGAGGTCACTCAACTTAGATCAAACATATTAATGTAGGCCTAAGTAAATTATGTAGCCCTACAGGTACAGTTACATTTTGTACTGCGCACTCAGCAACGCACACTACGCTAATTGGCACTGGCACACGTGCGTTGCCCATGTTCTGGTACATGAGCATGTACATGTACGGTACGTGTACATGTACGGTATGTGTACATGTACATTACATGTACTGTACATGTACAACTAGCAATAGACCGATTCGCTGACGTTATTACTGCGGTGTCCGTGACACGGTGCAGTGACAAAAATTGAATGTGGTCCGTACCTCTGAGAGACTTCGGTGCAAAGCCCGTTTCCCGAACCAGACGATACACGATTTGCATAGGCAGGAGCCCGATGAGCCTCGTTTCCATATCGACGCAGAGAGCAACCCAATCAAGACGCAAACTGCAACGCGGACATATGGAAACATGTCAGACGGAAGTATCGCCGATAACCCAGACCAGCCCCAGACGGATCGGCAAAGTTGAGCCTGAGTCCCGGTTCAACTTCGCCGACTGTCTGCGTTGAGTCGCCGTAAGTGCTCAGGGTTTCATAAGGTCAGCAAAAAACATCACGACTTATTAACCTACATGATAACCATCTCCTATTGGACACGGTCAGAAGACAACTTCAGCACGGCATTCTGATGAACTCCACATTCTATCCAGAACACAGGAGAAAGGTTCTCTTCAACTGATATTTGAAATACATTTATATAGACCTTCGACTTTAGAATACTGCACACCCCAATATTATTTCAAATTTGCCACGTGCAGGTGGCAATTACAATTCGTCGACCTTTTTTACTTCCCACCGTTGGTTGTGGAAAATGCCCTGTCTGGTCCAACCTCTTGCTGGCAAACTTACACTGTCAAAACTGCAACCCCTTCCTCACCAAAAAAATCCGGATTGCTCCGAAGTTGGCATATATGCATCATTCATGTTTCATGCCTCATGAATATGTGATTACCCTCGCCACGCCACCTCCGCGCGCATACGGACCGCAACGTCTGTCCAGCTAGCTAGCTACTTTCACCTTGTGTCCTTCATCCATGCTTAAACGCTAGATTTGGACAAACCATGTCATTTCCGCTAGTTGGCCCCTATGACATAAAGACCTCAGCAGCCATCAGTGTATGCACAAAAATCTCTGCTCTTACATTCCTTAGCACATTTTAAGCCGGACTTGCAAGTAATCACTAAGTGTGCACCTTCAACATTTCCAAAAGCTTCAGGAAGCACAGATATATAAAAAAAAGAACAAAGATACCGGGTATAAAGAGAAGTAAATAATTTGTGTCTTGTGTCCTGTATTTGTTTTTAGTTCTATTAAAAAATAAGAGAAAAATAGTATTTGTATAGAATGGTTACATATTCATACAACCAGATATTGAAATGACATGTACGCTAATAATAATTAAAAACTAGAAATATTAAGTGTTGGTTTTATTGTAAAACTGTTTTTGTTTTGTCCGTAAAATGAATGACTAAATGCAACTTCGGCGAGATGGTCGAGAGGATAAGCTCGTGGTTTTCAGATCGTTAGACAGTGGGTTCGAATCCCAGCGGTGTCTTTTTATTTTCCGTCGTTTGCTGTCAGTCAGTAGTTATAAGAGACTCTAATTCACCCCTGCCAAATACCAACAGTATCTTAGCCCACGGGGTAAGCTCTTCTGCTGGGACTGTC